GGTTACCCGGGGCTTTTCCAGGCCATGATATGCTGTTAGGAATTCACCAAGAAGTGACCCCTTGGGATCCAGGATCACCACCTTGTTCACCTCTCCATGGATCAGAAATATGTAGCCTTTCTTATCCACAGACACAGAACCTGGCTGGCAGCCATGTAAACCAGGGCCCTTGTATTCCCAGATCACCTGGCCTAGCCCATCACAGAAAACCACGCTGTTTTGCTGCCAATCTGACCCTACAAAATTGCCCTGGGGGCTGGTGGTCAGGAACACCAAGGCCCGCTGGCCCCGGCTAGCCTTGCCTCCAGGGATAAACCGGGTAGCCAGACTGCCTTCCTTCTTGTACACCTCCACATGGCCTGCCACACTGACAGCTACCCGGTCTCCACACGGCATCGCGGCCACAGCGTGGCTGGACTGGGTGAGGCTCAGGGATCTTCGCCATTGAACTTCCCCCTCAGGATTGACAAGATAGAGCCTGGCATTGGCGGAGAAGGCCACTGCATTCTGCAGGGCAGCCACGCTGCACGGGGAACAGCCTTCGGGAACCGGCACTGTGCCCTTATAGTCGCCATTGAGGGAGAAGCGCTTCAAGACCCTGTTCTGCTCATCTGCCACCAAGATCTCCTGGGGGCCGTAGGGACAGAGCCCGGTGATACGAGGGGAGCGTTTGTCTCCAGGCATCCTCGTGGGGAAACTCCAGGAAAAAACAGGTCGTGGGAGGAGGGCTGCGCCTTCTAGGGTTGGCCTCAGGATGGGGCTGGGCTCCCGAGAAACGGGCTTGCCCCTCCCTTTGCACTTCTTCTTCTTGTTAGCTCTGTTACCCCTTTCGATTTGGACATCGTCATCTTCTTGGGGGTTCTGGGCTTTGCCTTCTTTGGGAGTTAGGGCTCCATCCTTACACAGGGACTGGGCTCCACCCTGCTTCCCTACCTTGGTTCTCTCTTCGACTTGGCTTTGAGCTTCATCTCCTCCTTGGGTACCAGCTCCAACCTTCTCATGGTCCTTCTGGGATTGTTTTGGTTCCTCAAAGGAGAGTCGAAGCAGGTGGCAGTTCTTGTCCTGGAGCCCAGGGTGGAGCTGCAGCTTGGGCAGCACGCAGCGGGTGGGCCCGGGTGTCCAGGGAGAGTCTTGAAGCTGGCGCAGGCGCTGTGTGATTGCTCCCTCCAGCGAAAGGATCTCAGCCTCCAGACCCAGGCTGAGCACCCGACGGGCGAAGGCAGCAGCCGCCTTGGCCACTTGCTCCTGGCTCTCTATCTTGGTCAGCCTCTCCCTGGTAGCCTCCTCAGCAGTCTCCACAAGGGCCCTGAGTTGTCCCAACACTTCCTGCTTCTGGGCCAGCAGGGACTTGAGGATTCGTTGGGCACCCTCCTCCACCTGGGTCCCCACAC